CTGAAAACCAGCTGCCAACTTAGATTCTTATAATCAAGCCACTGCTCAGATTCTTAAAATCTAGCCAATAGCTCACTAATGTTCAGACTCCTCAAGAGTCTGCCCAATATGATGGATGTTCTAATAAACCTTGTCTTTGGCTAAAAGAAGGCTTGGGTCAAATTCTTTTGGCCAGGACCCGTGTGTTGTGATTTTGGGGTCCCAGCACCCCTAAACCTCAACATTTTGATGGCCCATAAGGGGAAACTGCCTAACCCCAAGTTCTTCTACAGCCAGGACTGGAAGGTATGCAAGCCTATACCTTTCCCTCCTTTCTTGCTCTGCAGTTGGGGTTGCTCTCCAAGCACCAAGGCTTGGAGGTGCTTTTCAGGAAAACAGTTACAAGACTGTCCCACACTTGGCCTGATGCTCTCAGGCTCTTGGTCCACTGGGTCAGTTTGAGGCCATGGACCTGGGTACACCTTCTGCAGCATAGAGGACAAGGACTGATGCCCTATCTGGAAATGTATGCCCAATTCTGTTAATTCTCTTGGTGCTAGGGAATTGGGGAAAACTGCAGTTGTTTTTTTGGTTCCCTGAGGCTTACTTACTTCCCTCTACACCCCTACATCCTCCTTCATGGAGGTTACAGGGAAAAGTTAGAACAGCTAAAAATATCTTGGCAGATTCTGGAGGTTTTGTGATTGATTATTAAGGAGTTTTGAAACTACTCCTTACAACTCTGGTCACTCCTTTCTCCCTCTCCTTTCCCTTGAGTCAAGAGGGTATCTATTAACCCCTCTCACAGGAAAAGAGTTTCACCCTTTACCCCTCATCTTTGATTTTGCCCTCCCCCACCTGGGAAAGGAAGGAGGAGGGAGGGGCTGCAGCTACAGCATGGGCCCCCGGCAATGCCCTTGAGTCCTAGGGCAACCTTTGCCTGGAAGCATCACCCAGGTTCAGCACATCCTGCTTAAGGTAAAGAAGCTAGCCTCCAAACTTGGGTTAAGCATACTCTTTTAAATTTGTAGTTTTAACTATTAATGATGAGATGTTGATTCTCTGTGTGCAGTAATTTTGAAATGAATTTAACAAAATTGAAGTCACCTAATTGGTAATGGTTTGTTTCAAGTTTCAAAATGGTGAACTCTTTGTATCAGTTATGTCAAGCAACTTTTCATAATTTGGTTACTGTTAAAATAATTTGGCTATTGTTTGTTATTGTTTTAATATGTAAACTAGCCAAAAAGCTTGTTTGGGTTATGTATGGCTTGCTGAGAATTTGCAAATGTATAGAAATCTCTAATGATTGGCTTTTTACACCAGGACAAATTTAAGTTTGAGATGTAAATCCTGGAAAAGTTTTTCCTAAGCTGTGATTAGTGAAACTTGCTGTGTGAGATAAAATCTCATAGGATTCTATTTTGAGTTGTCTGATGGATCATAATAATCCATTGATAATCAATAATCCACCATTTGAGAGAAATGCCACAAGCTACTCAGAGAATGTAATACTGGTGGGAAGTCAGCATTGGGAAAAGCTGAGAGGACAATTTTAGCCTCAGTCTAAGATGAGATCCTCCTGACTCAGTTTCCCCATTATGTTGCTTTGAAAGGAAATGTAACCCACCTGGCTATTCCTGAGTCTGGCTATGAAGTGGATTTGAAACTGCATGGTTGGAAAACTGAATTACCTGAATCCAAACAGAGCTAAGGATGTTTTATCCTCTCAAAGTTGGACCCTAAATCTAGTCTCTGCTTTATATCGGGCCCTGCATTTTTTTTCTGTCAGATTTGTGTCTTCCAGACTACAGGTTATTCACCCACAGTTGGTAGCAAACAGCAGGTACCAGCCAATGTTCCCCATCATTCCCTGGATGCAGCCTGTGCTCGGTTCCAGTCAACCTCCTCTTTGGGATCCCCTCAAGGTAGGGACAGCTCTATGCCCCTTGCCAGCAGGAAGCAGTTTTAGAAGCTGAGACCTTCGCCCCTTACCTCAAAAGAATTTGGGTCCCATTTGTTTGAGGGGGGAATGATGAGGATGGTATCTAGACCCCAAAAAGGAAAAATCCTGGACTCTCTAAATGGACTCTCCAAATCTCTAATGTTCCCCTCAGCTATAATCCCATCAATTGGCCTTTCGTTGTGGACCTCCCTATGGCTCCTGGCCATTTCCCATCCTTAATCCTAACTAGGCTCCATTTTCCCTTGGCCACATAGTCCAGGTCCAGCAGTTCTGTTCACCCCAGTTTACTGGCACTCCCATTAAGATCTTTTGACCCCTCCTCCAGTCACCTTAAACTACTTGGCCACTCGTATATCCCTCCCACAGTCTTTCTGTATATAAAGTCCATCCTGTCTCCTTTTGGATGCTTAGATTTTTAAAATCTAGCCACTGCTCAGATAGTTATAATCTATCCATGGGTGCCACTGCTCAGATTCTTAAAATCTAGCCAATAGCTCATTAATGTTCAGACTCCTTAAGAGTCTGCCCAATATGACTGATGTTCTAATAAACCTTGTCTTTGGCTGAAAAAAAAAAGCTGCCATGCAAAATTTCTATTTTTTATTAATAGCCCTTAAAACTCTGATCATATCGGCCTATCCTTTGCAAAAATAATAGAGTGGCAGGTGAGAAAGATGAGAAGACAATAGGTAAAGTTCCAAGAAGCTTAATGTAATAGAGTGTTGCCCTGGCTTCAAGATAATCAGGTAAGAAAGTCAGGAGCTCATGTTTTGGGTGGGCCACAGTTGAGTTCAATAGTACTTGGAAGCCAGGGCACAGAGTACATTTAAACAGGAATGTGAACAGCAATGATATGTCTAGTAAATTAGAAGGAGCCAGATGGCACAGTGGATATGGTGCTGATTCTAGAGTCAGGATAAACCCAAGTTCAGATCCAGTATCAGGAACATCTAAGTTCAGATCTAAACTTAGACACTTACTAGCTATGTAGCCTTGGGAAATTTATTTAACCTCTCTCTGCCTCAGTATCCTCATCTGGAAAATGGAGGATTATAATAGTATCTACCACCTAGGGTTGCTGAGAGGGTCAAATGAGATAGCATCTGTAAAGCACATTGCAAACTTTAAAGCCACATAAATTTTAGTTCTATTATTTATATCTAGCTCTACGCTTAAATAGAACTCAATATATATATTAAATATATTTAGTTATTTTAGTATTGGGCCTCAGAGATATGTACATATATATGTGTGTGTATATATATATATATATATGTATGTATTTCTTCATTACCACATTTAATTTCCTATGATGCCCCAAATCAAAACTTATCCCTGACCATCTTTTTCTGTCAGAATACAAGATTCTTGAGGACAGTGACAACCTAACTTTAGCACACAGTAAGGGCTTAATACACTTTTTTTTCATTTATTCATCAGTTTCTTATCAGGAAAATCACACAGGTCTGGCCATCTTTGTTGCAGTTATTTTGTTCCATTGATCAGGAATCCTTTTTATTGATGTAGTTGTTTCTTTTTTTACATTACAAATATTTATAGATTTCTCCTACTTTAGAAGTCCTTTGTAACAAAGTAATATAGTTAAAGTTAATGTAATTAACTTCATTTAATGAAAGTAAAATTAATACTACAGCAATTTTATCTAAAAGCGTATGCAGCATTTCAAACAGGTAGCACCCTCCCACCTCTAACTTTTAAAATGCACAGAAATCTATTTTCCCTCCTTCCATTAGAAAAAAGAACAAAATATTTCTTTTAACAAATAGTCAAGCATAGCCATGCAAAACAAATTCTCTCAATAGATGTATACAAACATATACATATAATTGTGTGTGTGTGTGTGTGTGTGTGTGTGTGTATGTGTGTGTTTGTATCTGTATATGGGACAGGTAGGTGGCAGAGCTGGATACAGTTCAAATCTGGCCTCAGACATTTACTAGCTGTGTGACCTCAGGCAAGTCACTTAATCCTGTTTGCCTTAGTTCCTCATATGTAAATAATAAGCTGAAGGGAATGACAAACCACTCTAGTATCTTCACTAAGAAAATCCCAAATGGGGTCCCAAAGACCATGACTGAAAACTGAACAACAACAAATATCTGCATATGTACCCATTTACACATATGCCTATGTCTCATTCTGCACCCTAAATTTGCAAGTTTATGGAAAATCCTGGACAAGAATTTCACAAGGAAGGTATGGATTTGCTAAGGTCTATACTGAAAACACTCACAGCATTAAAATCCTAGATTAAAATATGAATTTTTATTGATATAGTGACCTCTGTGGTCCATGTTTTCCACTTGTTTGTAGTTAATAGAGCAGCTGTAGAGACTGATATCGGCAGACAGAATCTTTGGAGACTGTCAGGAATTTCATTTGTGTATGTTTAAAGCATGATAGATGATACAAATCACTATAGTTTAACCAGTCTCATCACTGAGGGCCAGGACATAGGAAAATAGAGGCCAGAAGTCTCTGGCCTCAAATGACAAGCACTTATTTCACAATAACTATCTAAATAATGGTTACCAGAGGAGGAAAAAGTAATCTATTCTCACAGTTCACACTATATGCTACCAGGATTCCCTCTCAGGGACTTTCAAGGGTGAGGTTTCTTTGGCTGACATTCTCAGAGCTCAGGGAGTTTGGGGTATAGATCTAACTAGATGCAGAGGGGATGCTAATAAAAGATGCCCCTTGAAATGAGAAACATCACAATTTATTGCTGTTTACTTAATGAACTTTCTCAGAGGTAAAGACCAGAACATCAAAAGGCAACTTTCTCAAACATTCTGGTCAAAACTAATTACTTGCTTGCTTTTGCTAGGTTACTGGTGTTACTCTCCAAGCCATATCAGCAACTTCTGGCTCTATAAGATAATTGGGAATAAGGAATTAAACTGGAAGAAGTTTATAATGCTTTGAAGTTGTAACTGACATCTCTTGTATGGACATCAACTTAATGTAATATTTTCTTACAAAACCACTGAAGATTTCAATGGTAAGCTCTGTGTGGTCACAAGGAATATAAACACTGCAAGGTTCAGAGACAAGAATCATGAGCAGCAGCAATGTGTCTCAGCCTGTAGCTGTACAGCTCTGCTATGAGAACATCAATGGGTCCTGCATTCAGACTCCCTACTTCCCGGCACCCAGAGTCATCCTCTACCTGGTCTTTGGCTCTGGGGTTGTCCTTGCTGTCTTGGGAAACCTCATGGTCATGATTTCAGTATTTCACTTCAAGCAGCTGCACTCTCCTGCCAATTATCTCATTGCCTCCTTGGCTTGTGCTGACTTTTTGGTGGGAGCCACTGTGATGCCCTTCAGCATGGTGAGGTCAGTGGAGAGTTGCTGGTATTTTGGGGAGAGTTACTGTAAACTGCATACCACTTTTGATGCGGCATTTTGTCATACTTCACTCTTTCACTTGTGCTTCATCTCTATTGATAGATAGATTGCTGTTACAGACCCTCTAGTGTATCCAACCAAATTTACTGTCTCTGTCTCTAGGTTATGCATTGCTTTCTCCTGGACCATCATTGTGTCTTACAGTGGTTCTGTTTTTTACACAGGTGTCAATGATGATGGACTGGAGGAATTAGTAAGTGCCCTCACCTGTGTGGGAAGTTGTCAGGGTGCTGTGAATCAAAACTGGATCATGATAGATTTCCTGTTGTTTTTCATACCCAGTCTAGTTATGATTATTCTTTACTCTAGGATTTTTCTCATAGCTAAATTTCAGGCTAGAAAGATTGAAAACACCAATAGTAAAGGAGAATCTTCATCCTCAGAGAGTTACAAAGCCAGAGTGTCCAAGAGGGAGAGAAAAGCAGCCAAAACACTGGGCATTGCTGTGATAGCATTTCTAATTTCCTGGTTACCCTACTCACTTGACTCATTAATTGATGCTTTTCTTGGCTTCATTACCCCTGCCTATGTCTATGAGATTTGCTGTTGGTTTGCTTATTATAATTCAGCTGTGAATCCCCTGATTTATGCTTTCTTTTACCCTTGGTTTCGAAAAGCTATAAAACTCATTGTCACTGGAAAAGTCTTACAGAATGGCTCTTCAGCCATGAATTTGTTTTCTGAACATGAATAAAGGTTAGAACAAAGAATCTGACTATGCATTTCTCCTGATATTTCTAACTTTCTGAAATATTCTCTTTTATTAATTCAGAATTGTCAAATGACAGATACTAAATGTTATAAATTAGCAACCTCTCTTAAAGGAAGTGAAAATAAATCATGCTTTCCTTTAGGCCAGGTCATAATGCTTTTTAGAGTTTTGGCAGTTATATGTCTCTGGCTTTACTAAAAAAAAAATCTTGACAGGTATTACAAAGGATTAGTGTTAGTGCCTCAGCTCTAAACAACACCTTTGCTTATTAGGTTTCTCTCATTTAACTTCTTTCATTTCACTACTCTTTTTCCTTTGATATGTATTCTTAAAGCATTCTTCTTCTTTACTTCATTTTCTGTCTCCCAAAGTTCCCAGGATCCTGTGAAACATCCCAACTCTCAGTATGCTGTCCCTTCCTATTTGTTCAATTTTCATGTGTGTACTGCTTCCTACCTGTCCCTGACTGCCCACAGAGTTTGACAGCCTCTGGGAAGAGCCTGATTCTCCTTCTCTTACTGCTAAAGGAAAGATCACCATTTAATATTTCCCTGTTATTTTAATCAGGTCACATCCTGACTAGAGCAGTTTTTTAATTGGGTGCTGAGTTAGACTAAGCTTAATGTGTGATATGTGGGGAATACTTTTCTGATAGTGGTTGTCTTACTGATACTATTTCTGTTCTCTAGATGGTATATCACTACCACCTCACCAACCTGATTGACAGAGAGGTTGAGGATTACCTGATGTCACTTTTCCTTACACTCTGAAAATCCTGTGCTCTGCTGATGATGCCCTGAGTCACTTTCATCAACTCATTTACAAAATATCTGGGCTGATTACATGTCACTAGTGTCTTTCCTTTTCATGTAATAAAACCAAACTGCAACTGATTACCCATGCTTTGTTTTTTGATTAGATGATTGTGAATTATTAAAGAGTTTTTCTTGGTTTTATTTTGACAAATCTTATGATTCTTTCAGTATTTTCACTCAACAAATACAAAGCACCTAATATGCACATAATATCATTCAACACCATGAGTTATACACAGATATATAGTAAATGGTCCCCTATAATTCAAAGTAGAAGACATAGGATATATATACAATAAAAGTTAAAAAAAATCATACAGTAAAGAAGAATTCATTTGTCAACCCTCCCCATGACTACTTTCTCTCCTCATATGGCATATTGAATGCCCCTTTGCAGAAGAAAATGTCTTCTGTCTTTAATTAAATTAAATTAAATTAAAATGTCTTTAATTAAGTATGTATCTTATAGATTACAAGCCCCTCTCTAGCAAAGACATTGTTGAATACCTTCACCAAAAGAAAAAATGTTCCTCTGTAATTACATGTTGTACTGTATTGTCTCATTAAGTTCACAAATTTTAGAATATTTTATCAAAACTTAAAATGGAAGTTCACAAGCTTTGCACATTGCATGAGTTCCTTTTGAATTTGTTGGTTGGCATGTAAAAAAGTCAGTGTTTGGGTAAATCTGAATAGGCTGGTAGCTCCCCTAAATCCAGACTGTGTCCCCATTAAACTTCTAGTTCCTGTGATTTCATTCGACAAACCCTAGCAGGAAGCCCATATAGATGTGGTACTGTGGCTCAATAAATTTTTATTATTAATGACAATGAAAACATATTAGTTCATTTATAAATTTAACAAACATTTCTTTTAAAAAAATACTTATTTGATAGGCACTGTGTCAGAATCCGGAGATACAAAGATTAGATAGATAGATGGATATTTACATATATAGGTCAGTTAGGTGGCGTAGTAGAGAGAGCATCAGGCCTAGAGTCAGGAAGACTTGAGATCAAATCCAGCCTCAAACACTTACTAGTTGTGTGACCCTGGGCAACCATACCCTGTTTGCCTCAGCTCCTCATCCATAAAATGAACTGGAGAAGGAAATGGTAAACCACTCTAGTATCTTTGTCAAGAAAACTCGAAATGGGTTCATAAAGAGACAGAAATGACTGAACAACAATAACAAAAACATACACATACATAAATACATACACATGCTTGTTTTATAGTCTCTCTGGCAGGAAACTATATACACTAATAACTATAATACAAAAGAGAATGAAATAAGTGCAAATAAGGAAACCAAATAAAAAGCTATGAGATTAAGATAATCAATTTAGAACTTATAGATCATGTAGTCCAACACTCTTATTTTATGGAGGAAGAAACTAAGGTCTGGAGAGGTCCACTGATTGCTCAGTGTCTTCACACTGCTAGTAAAGGCCTAAGGCACAAATATTATGACTACTAATGAATGAAAAATGGGGCCTGAGTGCAGGTATCTCACACTTGCTGCTGGGAGATTCTAAGAGATACAGCTAAGGTTTAGTAGCTAAAAATTTTATAATCTTTAGAAGGATCTACTGTGGTAACTGATATGACAGATAAATATTTAGTTTCTTAATTTTTCTTTTGCAAATTGCAGTGAATAATAAAATTCAGCATGAATAATAAAAAACTGAAGTTGAACTTTGAGCATGAATAATAAAAAGTGAAATTGAAACTTAGGCAGCTAGGTGGCATAGTGGATAGAGGGCTTGTTTAAATTCAGGAAGACTTGAGTTGAAATCCTGCCTAATACACTTATTAACTAGGTGACTCTAGGCACCTTATTAGCTTCATTTTCTTCATCTATAAAATGAGAAAATGAGGAGGTTATACTAAATGAGCTCTAAGGTTACTTCCAGCTCTAAATCATGATCTAAATCTATGACCATATGATCTTCCTGAAAAATAATATTAAAAAAAAAAGCTAGCTTTATCTGGTGGGCATTCAGAATGGAGATGCTCTAGAAGGTTTAGGCTGTCATTGCTCTGAGGTTCTTAGAACCAAAAGCAGAACTAGTTTATATAATTCTTTTCTGTATTGGGTAATTTACAAAGACCACACCCATTCAGTAGAAAGCTCCTTCAGAGCAAAAGCTGTTTTTTTTTTCTCTAAGCAATGGGGTTAAATGACTTGCCCGGGGTCACACAGCTAGTAAGTGTCAAATGTCTGAAGCTGGATTTGAACTTAGATCCTCCTGAATCCAGGGCCAGTGTGCTATCCACTGCATCACCTAGCCATCCCTAGGGACTGTTTTTTTTTTTTTGCCCTTTTTTGTATCCCCAGTGCCAAGCAGAATACCTGACACATAGTAGGGGCTTAATAAATGCTTCTTGACTTAACACTGGAGGGTTAGCAATGAAAGTAGAGTGGCCTGTAAAAGGATATCTCCCATAACAATAATAAATGACTGTATTCTCCACAATTGATTGTTTCTTTGGACCCACATTCCTAGAGGGAGAGTCTAAGGCTTATACCCTCCAACAAAAGCTTCCTATGTAATCACCACGCTTGGAGACACTACCTACTCTCATCTATCTTTCATACAGCTTTTTTTTTCCCTCTAGGCATCACTGGAACCTCAGTTTCATTTCAAATGGTCAAAGTAGAGTAGAATATAGACCAGACAGAGTTGAGCGCAGAAATGCATTTCACTCAATAGGGAATTGAGTGAACAGAGAAAAGGGAGGTAGGCATTAGAGGGAAGGCATATTCAGGAATATATTCAACAAGAAATGAATCATAAGCAAAACAAATCTAACCATGAATCGTTAATTATGAAAAGATGTTTGAAAGGAGGGAAAAGATAAGAATCTGTGTTTACTATTAAAGGAAGAGTAAAAGAGAGGCAGAGGAATAGAAACAGATTTAATTTAGCACAGAGCACTAATGCTGAGCATATTTTCCAGTTCTTACCCATTTCTTTGTAAAGAGGGGGCAGGAAATAAATGAAGGAAAAAAAATGTGAGTATAGAATGGAAAGAAATATGTAATCAATGATCATAAAATGTGAATGGAATGAACTCATCCATAAAACAGAAGAGGACAACAGAATGGACTAGGAAGCAGAGTCCAACAATATGTTGTTTATAAGAAACACAGTTGAAATATAAAGATTCACACATAGTTAAAATTAAAGTGTGGGAGCAAAATCTATTATGATTCAGATGAAGTAAAAAAAAGTATGAGGCAGCTGGGTGGTGCAGTGAATAGAGCTCTGGCCTTAGAGTCAGGAGGACCTGAGTTCAAATCCAGCCTCAGACACTTAACACTTACTAGTTGTGTGATCCTGGGCAAGTCACTTAACCCCAATCACCTCACCAAAAAGCAAAAGCAAAAAAAAAAAAAAACAAACAAACAAAACAAAACAGAAAAACAAAAAAAAAGTAGGAGTAGTAGTCATGATCTTATACATGGCAACAACAAAAATAGTCTTGATTAAAAGAGATTAAACAGGGAAACTTCATTATGCTGAAAGGTACCAAAGAAAATAAATAACAATAATAATAATATTTAATAGTATGAATAGCATCTAAATATTTAAAAGAAATGCTGAATGAATTAAAGGGAGAAATAGACAGTGAAACTATAATTATGTACTTCTTTTTAGACTTAGATTAATGTAACAAAAAAAACTAGAAAGAAGTTAAAGATCTGAAGAAAATGTTAGAGATGGTAGGTCTCTAGTGATTATTGAATAGGAATATAAAGGAGTATAGGTATTTCTCAGCTATTCATGATAGATTTGCAAAAACTGACCTTGGGTCAGGGCATAAACTTCACTAACAAATGCAGAAAAATTAAACAATTTTTTGACAGACTTTATCTTTTTTTATTTTTTCCATTTAATAGTATTTAATTTCCATAGTATTAAATTCCATTTAATAGTATTTAATTTCCATAGTATTAAATTCCATTTAATAATATTAAATATTATTTTAATTAATACTAATTTAATAATAAAATTAATAAAATTAATACTAATTTAATAATAAAATTAAATAGTATTTTTTTCCAATTACATATAAAGATAATTTTCAACATTCACTTTTATAAGATTTTGAGTTCCAATTTTTTTCTCCTTCCCTCCTTCCCTTCTGACCCTCCCCAAA